TATCTTTATTTTTTATTTTTTTGTCTTTTATTGAGTTTATTGGTCTATTCTAGGTATACAGTACAGTTACATTCATTACTAGGATCTTGTACCTTTACATGGCTCTCATTTTGTCCCCTTGTCCCTGCCCTCCCTTCAACCCCTCCCTCCCCTCCCCATTTATAAACACTTCATTTCTATTTTTTCATTTTCTCATTTTTTTTCCTTATTAGCTTTCCCCTACCCTTCCCACTTTCCCCTACACCTTTAGCCCTTTTCTTTATATTATATATATCTTACAAATTAAAAAAGAGGGAAAAAGAAAAAAAGATTAAAATAGTAAATTTGATGTTATATATACATTAAAAAGAAAATGATTAATCTAAGGAATAATTTTATATACTTCATTCTCAAAATTCAAAGTTTCTAATTCTATGAGGAAGATTTACCACTACATAAAATACAATTTATACACACCCCAGTAGTCCCTGTATCTCTTCTGTTTCTACTAGTCCTTTTCTTTGTACTTTTTTTTTTTGGAGTGGGGGATGTCTTAACTAAGGTCTTACCCACTGAGTACATTTTCAATACTCTGAATAAGCATGTCACATTAGATAAATGAAATACAATTTGACTAAGCAAATACCTGAAACATGTCCTGAAATATAGTTTTTATTTTAGTGCAAAACTCAATTATTTTGTTTCTACAATAGACTTTACAACTATGTGGATGATACTCATCCAATCTGTAAATAACTCAAGACTCTTGATACTCTTATTCCTGTCATCTCCGTTTTCACATTAACTGATTTGGGATACTTCAACTATTGCTAACAACTGGCATAAGGGAGATGGAAAGTGATTGTACACTTTTGATTATTTCTGAAATCAAGTTGATTAGAGTACATTTTGGGCAAAAATGGATTTTTTTCTTGTATCCTCTCATTACTCATTTAAAACAACTTAAACTCTAACTAAAGAAATTAATACACCTTTAAACGTTGAAAAATTATACCCTCCCCAAATGAACAAAGTTAAAAACTTACAAAAGCAGAATGCTTTCCTCGAAATCTTCTTGTGCACTGTTGCCTCCATGGCTTCCAAATAATAAAGCCCAAAAGGTACAGAACAAACATAGATGTTTTTGCAAAGGTGCTGAAAAATGGTTTGTTGTACTGTGTGAAAACATACTGTAGAAGAAAAAGTTACACAGGAAACTCTGAGAGGCCTTTAAACCTTAGTACTCATCTCCAAAAAAAACAAAGCCTTTACATAATTCTTAATTTTTTTAGAAGTTTCTCTGTACAGTAAAGGTCAAAAGGGATTATAAAAATATTTTAGTTTCATTTCTGATACTGTATTTGGCTTGTATATAAAGGTTCCCTTTGCAGCAGCAACAATTTTCGAAAAGGTTTTGTACAACATCCACTGAAAACCTATCACACAACAAACCTGTGCTATGGGCTAAAGAAAAGTAAGATAGGCTTTTCTGCCCTTGAGGAGCTTATAACCAAATGAAAGAGACCAATAAAAAATAAAATACAGCATGATGTTCTAAGTACCATGACAGGGGTTCTGGGTGCCTTGCAAAGACCAACTGGAAGGTTAAGGAAGTTTCCTGAGAAGCTACTTCTGATCTGTGTGTGAAAGGCTGAAGCAGAATTGGCCTAAATACAGAAAACACCATTTAAAAAGGTAGTAAAACAGAACGGTGCATGAAGAATATTACATGAAGTTTAATGTTTTAAGGCATTACATAAGAACCTACAATCTTTATATAAATTAAAAATATCAGTATAAAGTTGTCATTTTTGTCTCCTGAGGGAAAAATCCCTGTGTGCACTGAAAAGGTCTAAGAAATTTCACAAACCAGGAGAAAACAACTCTAGGGCCCAGGTGATAGTCTGTGCCACAGTCCTAGAGGCAATGGTCAAATGCAAGTATGAGGTAAGAAATGTACATGATAAACATAAAGCGTCTTGTGCTAGAAACCAAATAAAAAATTACGGGAGTCATACTAAAAGGACCCCAGAGTCAACCTGAAGGAGCTTCCACTGGTCAGATATAAGACAGACTAAGCTTTAAAAGAAATAATAGCTGCAATGGTTTAACACAATTATCAAAATATATAAATATATTAAATTATATAAATATATAAAAATTAAGAATTTACAATGATGCTAACAATGGTCAATATGGAAGTCGCTAATTCTATTCTAAAATGAAAAAAAGGGGGGAAAAATCAAGATTTATCCAATTTTTATACATGAACCATGTTTCAGAATAACTACATAGTAGTTGTGGAAAAGTTCTCCTTAAAGGATTTTAGCTAATGAATACAGAAGGACTGTTCCTTAGAAAAACAACTATTTTGTAACCTTTATCAAGGCAGTAGTCATATGGACATTCACCTATTACCTACAATTTGATGAGGAATTTTAGTGCTTAAACGGGCATCACCCAAAGTAAGACTTGTAGCCATTATATGAACCACACTGTAATGTCATGGGAGTACCTGGTTATTATCAACATATTCTTTGCTAAAAAGCTCAACCTAATAAAAGACTTTTAACACTCATCTATCATTTCACAGGAAATAAAAGAACACATTAAATGACAAGGAAGCAACAGCAAAATCAAGAATGTGTGATATATCTTAGAAGAAAAGTGACTTACTTTTTCTAACAAACCAATATCATGAAAAGGGGGAGGGGAAACAGACAAAAGTGACTTCAAACATATAACAAAAGGAATATGTGAGGTTTTTTTCCAAATAAACCTCACAATAAAAAAACACACTTAAAAAAAGCAGATGTCCTTAATATAAGTGGGAAAATTTGAATATGAACTAGTTTCAGGTGATTTTAAGGAATTATAATTAATTTGGTCAGATATTATAAATGGTACAGCAATTATATTTTTTTTAAAGTTATTTTCAATTTGAGGCAAACATAACTAGAATTTGTTTTAAACTATCCCAGGAAAAAAGTTTTTAGCAGCACTGGGTAAGAGTGGAAAAAGTTGACAATTATTAAAGGCATCACATTCTCTCTACTTTGCATATAGTAGAAAGTTCCTTAATAAAAAGACTGATTTTCTTTTTGAAACACACAAGATATCTCAAAAGTTTGTGAGTTTATCTGGCTGAAGTATTAAAACTTTACACAAGCTCTTGGATAAAAGTTGTTAAATATCCTCTTAGTGGAATTTAAAAAAAAAACTTCTTTCCCCCTAGATTTATTGAGGTACAACTGAAAAGAACTAAACATATTTGCTAACTATTACATGGCATTTTGATTCATGTTCTACATTGTGAAACAATTACCACAAACAAGTTGGTTGGGTTTTTTTTTTTTTTCACTTTGTTCAGATATGAATCACTAAATTATAATTTATTCAGGTGATCTTTTGTCTAAATTTTCTTACCTAATAGGTAAAACAATTTATTCATAACTATAAAATTTATAAGGTAGGTTGAGTTCTCTGCAAATATTAAGATTTCTTTGAGGGGAAACTACAGTATGTTAATCTAAGATTATTGGACAGTTTTTTTTTCTTTTTATTGAGTTTATTGGTAGAGTTTTAAAGTGAAAAACAGACAAACCATTGTATTCCAGAGCCTAATTCCAGAAAGGGTAAAAAATTATTTATTTATAAGATATAATGTCAGTGTCAAATGTTACTTAGCTATGATGTTAAGAAGATCACTAGTATCAAACTGCCTCTTCCAATATTTAAATTATTTTGTAAATGGTATTTCCTTTTGCATGTTTTGTTAAGATTGTAGTATGTGAGCTGGGTAGTTAATTCTGAAAAGCTGCTGTTTTTATAGGAATCATTAACCAAACAGTTAATTATAAAAGTAGAAAGAAGACTTAGCTTGTAAATTCAAAATACTGTAATACTACAGTACTATACTACTATCAATGGCTCATCAAACACAAAATTTAACTGAAGGCACTTACTGCATAATGTGTATTTTACACTGTTTCAGGCAGCAAACATATACACCCACGCACATGCACAATAGTGACCAGCACGTGAAAACTCTGATCACTTTTACTCGTTTTTCCAAAAGTGGAGTTTTGTTTGTTTACTTGTTTTAATAAGGTACTGAGGACTGAAGCCAGGGCCTCTCACGTGCTACACAAGTTTTCTACCACTGAGCTATACCTTCAGTTCAAAAGTATTCTTATTTCCTACTAAATAGTGAAAGATTGTTTGTATCTTGAATGGTTGTTCACCACCCCCAAAAAAAAGGATTTTCAGAGAAAATGAATTCAGTAATAAAAAACTCCAGCAAATTCTCCTTCATCTATTAAGAAAATGAATACCCTCCCTACAAGATACAAGAAAATTGCATGAAAAACAAAGGGCATCCTTACAATTTTAACTTGAAATGACACTAATCCTCAACAATACTTAAAATACTGCATTCAATATTTCTAGTAATTGTTGGAAATACTATAGGTAAACGACGATGCCATTACCATAACGTAATATCAGTCCTGGAGAAGAGATACATACCGAAGTAAGCTCTGATGAAGCAACCCATATCACATCAACCAGCAGGAGAATCACAATCCCGAGAGCCATCCGCCTGCGTTGAGTGAAACCACTGTTCTGGGAATTCATTCGGTTCATGATAAATACACACACCATTTGCAGTCTGTTTTTTAGAAAACACAGATCTCATTAGAGATGTTTTTAGAAAAATGACCATAAAAATGAGATGAGAAGTATAAAACGAAACATCTGACATGGTTTAGCTATTCTGCATTAGGAAAGTCACAAAGCACAAATACTTTACCTTGTTTTAAGGACCTCTCTGAGATCTTCAAAAGCAATGCCGAAAAACCGGGCAGATCTCAGTCTAAAAGATGAAGAACTCAGCCCACCTAAAAACCACCACAAAATGATGTTTATAGAAATGTAAACAAATAAGATTCTTCACATCTTTTTAAATTCACCAATCTGAAAACAAACCAAAGAAAACTACGAACATGTTAAAACAAAACCGATATTTTTCATTGTATACTTCAGATTCCACAGAGCAAAGTACATGGAACAGGAGAAAAGCAATATTCAAACAAGCGGTCTATTTAAGAATAGTAGTCAACGACTAGAAAACTCTGAATTCCGCCTCTCCCCGCAGAGGAATCCACCCCAGGGACGGAGTCTAGACTCACACCTGGATCTAAAGGTGTATTTTCAGTTCCTTAGCTCCTGTGGAATTTGGTTACCGGAGAGCAAGTGATTTGTTGTGGGTCTTAAGGGCTCCTTTCCATTCATCTCACGTAGTAAGGGAAAGGGATCCTCCGGCTCCGCTACCTAACCTGTGTCAACATCCAGTGATTCAGCTCCAAACAGCAATTCCCAGAGAGGGTGGGGGCGTCCCCGCTGGCCTGGGGACTCCGCGCGGCCGCTCCTGACAGCCTCCCGCG